AAAAAAAAAAAAAAACTGGACTGAAATTTCTTTGTTTGTATCATCGTTTTCCAGCCATCAAAGCCCAATTTACTTCTGCTCCTGATAACTCAACGCTATTCCAGTCCCCCAAAAATAAGTGATATTTATTAAGCAAAAAATCCAAACTCAAGCAGCCACTTCTTTATTGTCCAAACACTTAAAAACACCCTTTAGAAATATCAAGAAATGAGAGCTTTAAAGAAAATTTTTGCGGAAATTAACAGCAATAACACGCTCAAAAACTGATAATCAGCCCGTGTCGCAGCTAACCGACACTCTGTTAATTGCAGGATGACCATAAGCCTTCCTCCCACAATGCCCTTCGAGAGCTCTAGCAATTCTTTACTTTATTCCCGATTAGCCCTTGAGATCTACAGCACCAACCACTTACTTTAATACTAATTAATATACTTTTTTGACCCTTTTTTTTTTATTGTTCAATAACTGTTCACGGTGACTCTCCTGATCGGTCTGTCATCAAAGTTTACTGCCGCGCAGGTCTCCAATATTTAATAACAGAACGCTTACTTCAAGATCGACAATACAATACGAAAATTAACCTCAAACTTGGGTAATTAAATCATTTATTCAATATACAAGAACAGTACAACGAAGAAGAAAGAAAAAGGAAAATCAGTTTTTTAATGTACACAGAAGAACCAATAACATAATTAACATGAGCCAAAAGAAATCACGACGTCTGATGTCGTTCATAAACCCTCTTATATAGTCTCGTCCATCAAGCTATTATCATCTTCTTTATTTTTTCCCGTTGGTTTTAAAGCGGACAAAATTGGAAGCGGGCTCTCTTTTCCTGTATCATGCTGATATTCTTTATCAGCTGCTCCCGGGTTTTCCAAGAGTGTCTTATCTTTGCCTTCCGGCGACAGTCTTTATTCCCTTATAATTCTTAACGGTCATCTTACACACGTACTACGCTGGACGTATTAGGGAACAACTGCGACACGCGGGTACTACAATAAATCAGAAAAAAAGGCTAAGATGAACGATAACAAAAACAAAACTAATAATAACACTAGGAATAATAATAATAAGGAAATAAAAACCAATAGTTAGAAGAAAGAAAACTTTGAAAGCCGAATAGGTTAAAGAAAGACGCAGCGAAACCAAAGAGCACTCAACATGACAGCCGACAATGATCAGAACTCATGGGATTGTTCAGTCCTGAAACTCTGAAGCTCCTTTCATAGCTTTCGTCTCCTTTTTCAACTGACCACCTTCCTTTAAAAATGTTGAGACTCTAACCAGCTGCCTCTTCCTTAGAAGCTCTCCTTCATGCCGGTAACAATAACCGGCTTGAGTCTGCCATCTCAACCTTCACCAAATGTGGCCCTCCAACAATGATCGGCTTGAATCTGCCATCTCAAGCTTCACCAAATGTGGCCTTCCAAAAGCGTCGTTTCAGAGACTGAGCAGTTGCCATTGTCTAGTGGACTTTCGCGTTTCACGTACTGCAGCAACAGATCCGGGCAAAGCGAGATAGAGGTTGCCTACTTCTACTGCTTTACTTAAGGAATGCCCGGAGCGAAATTTAGGGTCACGCACTCGCTTGTGGAGGTCTCTGCTTTAGAGCCGCGCCGTAGAACAAAGGCTCCAATAGCCGCTATGCAGAGGACGCATTTAAATAAACTGTTTGTTTGACCTTTTTAGAAATTTTTTGGTCGATTAAACAGTCGTAATTGACACATTTAGGTCTAGACACATAATCAAATTTAGATTTGACTACGTTGCATCACAGGGTTTCTTTTAACTTGACAACCGTGGTAAATTGTTCGATAGACTCACGCTTGTAAACGACATCAGACAGTTGCCGGAGGAGTAAAGAGTATGTAACATTTTGCTGACCATTAAAAAGGGTAATAAGATGGACAAAAAAGAGTAGGTGTTGCAGAACTTGTGAATTTGCTTAGTTCTTAGGTATAAGCTTATAAATAAATTTCTTAGACCATTTTGCAGCGACACTATCAGACCAGGAACTCGCTTGCAGCTTGGCAACTGATTGAAAATTACTACGGAAATAACGTAACCAGCAGATGGAGTAATGCTAAGATAGTCACATGTGCTTTATCACACTATAATTTTATTCAGTAAGCGGAAAAAAGATCCGTAATTTTTTTTAAATCTTCACCACTTTGTTAATTTGCCTCTATTTAAAGTTATTTTACATTTTTTTTTTTCAACAAAAAGTTACTGTTAGCAACTGACTAGATTTTATAAGATTATTTATTTATCAATGCTATTAATTGCTGATCAAGAATAAATACTTCCAAGTCATGGAATTATGTACCTGGAGAATTTTATGATCTTGAGACAATAATCTTTCTGTTT